CCCCCCTCAAGTTCCAGACATCATACTAACCATCCATCTCGCCTCTCATTACACCAGTCCTCGGAAATCCTCCGTTGCTTTCTCACAGCCGTCATAATCAATACAAGCACAGAGTTCCTGTAGCGGGCAAATCCATACATGAACACGAAACGAAACAACAATGAGCCACTACGGGAAAAAATGTTTAGTTGTAGTTTTAGTAAGATTTTACTGCAGTTGCAACACAATAGGTCACATAAGTCCCAAAGATTGAGAGTTGCGAGCGCCGTAAAACCCTCTACTATATTTTTTTAAAAAAGATTTGAGGTGTTACGAGAAATTAACAAACACGAAAAAGAAGAAGGGGGGGATATGGATGATAGATGTTGGATAGGAAAGAAGGAGCACACCAGGCCAGAGCATCCGCCATCAACCCACTAACAGGGTCATATATGGACCGAAAAGACAAAGAGCCGATACGACAAGGAATCTACACGATAGTGAACCGATATAATAATGAACTGTTACGATAAAAGACCGAAACGTGACAAAACGAGACGACACAAGAGAGCTTTGAAAAAAAACAAGAATAATCACTGACCCGCCACTGAGAAAGTTTCTTCTTCTTCTTGTTCTTCTTCGTGTTCTTCTTCTTCGTGTTCTTCTTCTTCGTGTTCTTCTTCTTGTTCTTGTTCGTGTTCTTCTTCTTGTTCTTGTTCTTGTTCTTGTTCTTGTTCTTCTTCTTCTTCTTCTTCTTCTTCTTCTTCTTCTTCTTCTTCTTCTTCTTCTTCTGTTTGGTCTCCCCGTTTTGCTCTCGTCTTCTTCTACCTTTGCGTCCTGACATTATTATGTTGTTGTTTTTTAAGACAAAAAAGCAAACCAGCTTTTTTCCTTATTAAGGGTAAAGGGTCTTACAGGTCATGAAATCATATTATGCGTCATCACATGAGCAATAATATAACGTTTCTCTGAATTTGAATTAATTAGCTCAAGTTTCGAACTCGAAGCGTTTGGAAATTTAATGAAATAAACTTGTTAATTAGATAGCTTATACTTGTTGCATAGACATATGAAACACAGAACATTAGATGGCTTCCGCGTAAATATTGTGTGTGTGTGTGTGTGTGTGTGTATGAGTGTGAGTATATGTGTGTGTATGTGTGTGTGTGTGTATGAGTGTGAGTATATGTGTGTGTATGTGTGTGTGTAAGTACTTGTGTGAGTGTGTGAGTGCGTGTGTCAGTTTGTGTGGGTGAGAGTGTACTAGTGCGAGCGTGTGAGTTCGTGTGTGTGTGTGT